TCCGCTAGTTGATCACGTAACTTCATTCGTTGGACTACATTTTAGCAGACGACACTTGGAATTCCGATTACCGCTTGGGATTATAAGGAAATTCGGCCGATAAAAAATGGTGACGTTTGGTAATAACTGAAATCCGCCATTTTGTATTTGTCAAAGTATACATTAATACAAACTAATGCGGAGGTCGCGCAAGGTCGCTCATGTAAATTATTAATCCTTTCCGGAAATCCACGAATAATAGGTTTCCACGAAATTAGGTTACTTTACTGTATTTGCAGTATGAATACCAATACCAGTGAGAATTTCACTAAATTTCTGTTGAAATAAAGGCTAATATTATGCTAGAATATGCTTGTTAAAGTAAAATAATCCTTATAAACATTCCGAAACACGGAAAAGTGGTAAATAATTAAATGAAATAAAATGGAGTTTTACGTCTGTCGAGAAGGTAAATTGTTGACGGGTAACGCCATGAATATGATGCAATGAAGGAAATTTCGCCAGGACAGTGGCATTTGCCTACTCTTATTATCAATTTTCAACTTTAACGCGCACAGCCTTTAGCAAACAGGAACTTGGTTAATTGTCCCATCCTAATGACTAGACGGCGTAGACGCTTTTCCTTCTCAGCCCTTCTAACGCCCAGGTAAATAAGATAAAACAAGTGGTAGGGGTTGCGAGCAAACTACTATAACCAGACCCGTGGTAAATAAAATAAAACAAGTGGTAGGGGTTGTAAGCAAAGTACTATACACAGACCCGTGGTAAATTAGTGGTAGTGATTGTTAGCTAACTACTATACATGGACTCGTGGTAAATAAGATTTAAGGCTACTGATCAGATTTGATTGATTTTATTGAAATTTGGTATTTATAATGATTTGTAGATGTCACTTATGCAGTCAAAATAAGGGCCAGGGATCGAAAACAAGGCTATATTTCATTATTCAAGGAAAGTAGCTAATGGTAAAAAATCTGTATCTAATAGTTTAACTTACTTCAATACGATTGGCTGCTTCCGAATGTTGAACGTTTAGCTAAGCACATAATTATATGAAGAAACTCAATAGTCTACATTTAGTCGTCAGTCGGACTGTTGGATAGATAAGTTCAACAATCATTTGCGGTCAAATATTAAACTGAGCTATTCATTTGTAAAAATGATTTCTTAAGAATACTTACAAAACAAATTAATAGTGGGTACTGGGTACCTTATTTCAGTCTCGGTTGTTGATATCATTAAAGAATTTCGTCATCATAATATCGTACATTCTATTCACCATGGCACAAAACTTGGTTTCAGTAGTCCTTGCCATTATTTAGAGGTTGAACTAAGGTGCAAATTTGGCATAAGGATATGCAGAAAATGCAATGTCAGATCAAATCAAAGGTACTATGGAGCTTTAAGATGCAATTCTAGATTTCGTTTGAGATATCAGACAAAAGACGAGAATCTGAAAGTAGTATACTCTTGTTTTGACCAAAAGGACCCAGACGGGAATTCTCACGATATGACTCGCGATACCCTTGGGCATATACCTGAAATTCGTAAATTTACTGACAAACAAAAGGAGCATGTTAAGTCTGCGAAATCTCTTGGCGCATCG